AGTCTTAGACCAGCCAACCATTTGTGGAATGATACCTAGAGCAAATGATGTATCTTGTTTAAAAGAGTTAGAAGAATTGGGAATCCAGATAACAGACCGTGGTAGAGGTAGACCTCCTATTGAGCTCCTAATTGGAGCAGATATTGCAGGCAAATTGTATACAGGTCAAACGCAAATTTTAAAATGTGGTCTTGTTGCTGTGGAGACGCACTTAGGTTGGACTATCATGGGAAGGTCTGAAAGTGATAATTGCAAAGACAACACTATAACATCGCTATTTTTACAAAGCCATAGTATAGAAAATCTTTGGAAACTGGAAGCGATAGGAATTGGAGATCCTTGTGAAAGTATGAACACAGAGTTATTGGAAAAAGTGGCCTATGATCATTTTGAAAAGACTCTAAAGATTACTGAAGATGGGCGCTATGAAATTAGTTTTCCTTGGATGCAAAGTCCCGACGAATTACCAACTAACCGCGAACTTTCAGAAAAACGATTATTGTCCACTTCTTGGAGAGTCAGTAAAGCTGGAAAGATAAAAGATTATAATGCTGTGTTTCAAGAATGGTTGCAATGCGGAATAATTGAAGAATGCTTGGAAGGGCCGGGTCACTATTTGCCACATCATACAGTGTTCAAACCAACTTCCACTACCACACCTGTTAGACCCGTTTTTGACGCCTCGTGCAAGTCGAAGGGAAATATTTCGTTAAATGATTGCTTAATGAAAGGTCCAAATTTGCTCGAAGACATCCCAACTGCTCTTCTTAAATTCAGACAGAAAAAAATTGGAATTGTTGCTGACATTAAGAAGGCGTTTTTGCAAATTTCAGTAGCAGAAGAGGATCGCAAGTATTTGAAATTCTTATGGTGGGCAGATGAAGAAAAAAGGTCTATTAAGGTATACCAACATTGCAGAGTTGTTTTTGGACTTAATTGTAGTCCGTTTATACTGGGTGCTGCTTTAAGACAACATTTAGAGTCATTTGCATTTTCTCCATATCAAGATGTTTCAGAGATACTTAAATCTGCTTACTATGTGGATAACTGTGTTACTTCAGTTAGTTCTGAAAATGAATTACAAAGATTTGTAAAAGTGTCTACATAGATCATGGCCAAAGGAAAGTTCGAGTTGAGAGGATGGGAATATTCTGCTGTTAAACGTTCAAGTGTTCCTATGGTCCCATCACAAGTTTTAGGTTTACTATGGGACAAGAATGAAGATGTTATTTTTTGTGATACTCAATCTATTTCAAACCATCCAGAAAAGATAACTAGAAGGTCCATTCTTTCCATGGCTCAGCAAGTATTCGATCCGCTTGGATTTTCATGTCCAGCTACGTTGTATCCTAAGTTACTATTACAAGAGAGATGGAGGTCTGAATTGGGCTGGGATACTGAGGTTTGTGAGGATACAAAACTCAAAGTTCTAAATTGGATTGGAGAAATGAGGAAACTAAGAGATTTAAAAATAAAAAGACAAGTGTTTCCTGATAATCATTTGGAGTCAGAATTACATACCTTTTGCGATGCAAGTGGTTTATCTTACGCTGCCGTAGTTTACTTGAGGTGTAAGACAGATGAAAATATTTCGGTACAATTATTGATGGCTAAATCCAGAGTGGCACCATTAAAGAAGATTTCTATACCCAGGTTAGAGCTTTTAGCCTGCTGTATTGGCACACGTTTGGCTGATTTAGTACGGAGAAGCTTGAATATAAACATTAAGGAATTCTTTTGGACGGACTCAACTACTGCGTTGCAGTGGATTCAAAGGGAAGAGTCCTGTGGTGTGTTTGTGAGGAACAGGGTCAAGGAAATCCTTAAGACAACCACAAAGGAGAGCTGGAGACACATTCCAGGTGATTGCAATCCAGCGGATCTGCCTTCCCGGGGGTGTTCTGTGGAAAAGCTTATAAAATCTAGATGGTGGTGGGGGGGGGCACACTGGCTCAGAACGCCGGTTGGAAGTTGGCCAAGTACAGAGTTGAGGACAAATGAGGAAGAAGTACGCCTAGAAATACACAACTGTTCAACACTTTTACTTACCGAAAGCAGTGACGAATTTTTATCCTATTTCTCAACTTATACTAGAATTATACGCATGATGGCATGGATATTAAGATTTATTCACAACTCAAGAGACAAAACCAATTTTCGAAAGGGAGAATTATCAGTAAAGGAATTAGATGAGGCTGAAAGAGTTCTCATAAAAAGAGTGCAAGGAGAAGTATTTACTCCGCAATTTATCAATAGTTTAAAGTCTTTAAACGTTTTTACAGATGAAAATGGAATTTATAGAATAAGGACGAAATTAACTGACAGGAAGGATACGGATTTGTTTAGATACCCTTTTCTTCCGAGTAAACACAAATTCGTAGAAGTATTGATTCGAAAAAACCATTTGGAACTTATGCATGCTGGATTACAAACTGTTCTATCTAACTTAAGGGAGAAATTTTGGGTTCTAGGTGTAAGACGATCTGTTCGCCACGTAATTAATAAGTGTATAAAGTGTAAAAGGCACACAGTGAAGTCTGTTGAAACCGCTCCAATTTCCTTACCAGAAAATCGTGTCAAGGACGCTTCAGTTTTTGAAATTGTAGGAGTAGACTTGGCTGGTCCTTTGATATTGAAAGGTGGGCAAAAGAGCTGGCTTGTGCTTTTCACGTGCGCGGTGTTCAGAGCTGTACACTTAGAATTAGTCAGTTCGTTGTCTACCAAAGACTTCTTACTCTGTTTAAGAAGATTCATCGCTCGTCGAGAACGACCAAGTGTTGTATATAGTGACAACGGTACGAATTTTGTAGGAACGGAAAACCTTTTCCGAAGCATTGATTGGAGTGTTGTCGAATCAGAAACAACAGTTAAAAGAATTGTGTGGAAATTTATTCCGCCCTCCGCCGCCTGGTGGGGAGGGTTTTGGGAACGCATGGTACAAATGGTCAAAAAACTCTTGCGAAGAGTTTTGGGAACGCATGGTACAAATGGTCAAAAAACTCTTGCGAAGAGTTTTGGGAAATGCTTCACTTAATTATGAAGAGTTAATGAGCCTTCTCTGTGAATGCAAGGCAGTAATAAATTCAAGACCTTTATCTTATCTTTCCGAAGATAGAGAAGATTTGATGCCACTGACACCGGCAATGTTCTTACAAGAAATACGATCGGTGGGAGTACCCGATATTGATAAAATAGATTTGAAGAAAAGATGGAGATTTCAGCAAGCTCTTAGACTACAAGTTAAAAAAAGATTCAGAATTGAATATCTCGGACTGTTAAAGCAAAGTAAAGAGAGGCCAAATTGTTTTCAACTAAGCATTGGAGACGTAGTCATTATCGAAAATGACTCCATAAAAAGAACTCTGTGGCCACTGGCTAAAGTGATGGAAGTTTATCCTGGTAAAGATGGAAAGGTTCGAGTAGTGAAATTAAAGACATCTTCTGGAGAATTGATGAGACCTGTCCAACGCCTTTATCCGTTGGAAATAAGTTCTGGTGGCGAATCTACTGTTAAACCATCAGAGACACAAAAATCAGTTTTAGCTGATAAACTGGTAAAAGATATTACGACCAGATGTGGTCGGGTGATTAAGAAACCTATTAGATATTTAGATGACTGAAAGAAAACACTATTTATTATTTAAGTATAGTATTATTATTAAGTATAGTACATTTAAATTTAAGCTTACGTATTAGTGTTTCAATGCTTATTTTGGAAATGTTTCTTTTTACTCTTAGATATAGTATATAATGCATTTAGTAATTTTATATGTAGTTAAAATTTATATTTATTGCTTGCTTATGCATTTTTAAGAAATGCTCTAGTTGATTAAATAATATTTAATCAAGGTGGGAGGATGTTGCGTGGAGAATTTGTAATGACGTCATCGTACATAATCTGTAACATTTTATTCATTAGTTTAATACTTATATGAATTCCAATGGCAACAGTTTATTAGTTTATGTTTTCATGGAGATTGTTAAGAATAGATGTGGATCACTTTTCATAACTTGTAAATATTGTAATAAAGGTTTATAGAAAATTAGTAAGAGTTTTTCGATACATCTGACATTGGTGTTTGAAGGAGATTGTAAGCTGCATCATACACCCGTTTCAGATTCACAAGTTTATACATGAAATATATTTTGAGAGCCAGACTTTTTTTTTTTAATTTTACAAGAACAGTGAATGAATCATTTACATTGCATGGAAGACAGTCTACGGTCTTGTGCAAGTCATTGGGTACGTTGACAATGGATCCTTTTATCCCTAACTGGTGAAAGGGATTCGTAGAGCCAACTTTCGTTCTTCGGTAGGGTTAAATTTTCTCAACCACTTTGTACTTTTGTGAGGGACGGGCTTCATGCGTGCGTTTGCGAACAGAATCCTTTCGTTTTTCCGTTTTTGTGTAACGCTTAAGGTATTCCCGTCTACGTTCTTTGGCTTTTTCAGCCTCGGTAAGGTTAGGCCTTGGCATCGTTATTTTTTTTTTGTTTGCTTCAACTCTAACTTTTGGGAGGAAGTCAATCAGTTTGGACACTCTTTATTTGTGATATTCACCTGAATTGGTATTGAAAACGATCCAGTTTGAACTGTAGTTTAAAATTTCTGATTCTTAAGTAAAAGAATAAAAATAAAAATATCGTTCAAATGACGAAATTCTCTTTTATTCACAACTCAAGAAGTATTTGTGGGATCTCTCTGGTTCTATATCTCAAAAATAAACTCATCAATTTAATGCATAACGAAATTAAAAGTGAAAAAAAGAATTCTAAAAAACGTATCAAACAGCTGAGGTCGCCATAGCAATGCATGAGCACTGTTTACTATTACTCTTAATTATTGTAGTTGAAAAGTGAGGACGGTATCAAATCCAAGCCAAGACACATTTAGCTAATGGGTAATAAGAACTGTCAATATAATTTCTGGAAAATAAGAGTTCCTAGAAATTTAAGTTAATTGGAATAAATAATTTTATGAAGCATAAATGATAACTTACACGACAGTCTTTTAGCAGCATTTGTTGTCACACATAAAGAATCCTTTTGCCATAGAACGTTCCGAATCCCAGGTATACGATTCACCTAGAAGATACTCTTGTGAATTAGGTAGGATCATAATGTACGCAAGCTACTAGAAATACACTAATTATGTAAAATAAATGTAATTACTAATAAATCTAATTAACGCTCTAAATCTTAGAAGATAGATTCTGCTTGTATGTAAGGGTACCAGATTAAATTTTTTTGGCCAAAATGGTCACTAAGTTTTTAAGTCATTAAGAAAAAGGCTAATTATTTACATAGAGCAGTAATAGAGGTAAAGTTTTTGTGCCAGTAATAAAACCAAGCTTCTGGAGACCGATTAGGTGGGGAAATTTACTACTTTTCGTTTCTTCTTGCTTTTTCAATGGAAAAAAAATCAATGCATGAATCTTAATTTTTTTTTAATATATGGTCGTTTATTATGCTGCATTTGGTTGTAAGGAAATATTCGTTACAAGAGGTTTTTATCGATTTCATACCTGGGTTATTTATTTTCTGGTATTACAATTGTATTATTTACATTATAAATGATTTTTTTTGCACATTCTTCTTCTTCTTAAAATATCATATAGATCCTGATTATTGTATTTTAATCAAGTTAAAATCAAAATTTATAAATTAAAAACATTTTATAAATTAATATAAACATAAAAAAGCAACCATAGAGTAATAATTATGAAGAATTATTCTTTATTTAAACATTTTTTTTTAAATTTAAAATGTTCTAGGAGAAGTTTCGGCAACATTTTTGTCTCTTTGTTGCTTCGCTTATTTATGTTCAATATTTTTACTCTCTCTAATGCTTTTAAAGGAATAAATTCTTCATTTTTTTTAAAAATTTTTCTTTTGTTTTGGGTTATTTTAGTTCATAATATATTTGCTCTGAGAGAAGAAAGGTTATAAAATATTATTAAAAACAATTTGATAAATAGATCAAAGTTTTTTTAAACACTTATTTGTTAGTTCTTTAATAAATTTGTCAGATCTTTAATTAAAATTTTCAGATTTATTTCAAATGCAATATTACATGAAAAGAATCGAAAATACTAGCAATTTGAAACTGGTTAACCTTATAATCATAGGTGTAAAGTTTACATAAAATTGGAAATTTTAAAACAGGAAAGTGACTTTCTTTAAGGCTAAGAATTTTTTTATTCTCAATTTTTATTTCATATTTCAATTCCTTGAAATGTTTAAATTCATTTCTTGTAGATGTTCTACAAAATTCCAACTACCTGAAAAAATTTTCATGATCTTACAAGATTTTGCACCATTGAAAATCGTATACTAGATTAAAATTTAAACGGCTGTTTAGATGCATCAATATCGTTAAATCAATAAACAAATAGTATGCAGGGTTGTTGCGAAATAACTTCAGATTGAAAACTTCTGAATCAAATTGCAAAAAACTTTCTTTACAAGACACGTTTTAATCGTATTTAAAACCATTCTAAACTAAAAATTTTCTTAACTTTCTAAAAGCGTAAACAATTTTGTATAGTTTACATAATCTTTATAAAATTGGAATTCCAAAACAACTTTTATCTTGCAAGATCCAATATTTTATTGTTCCGCGAATTCCAACACCCCTGGAGCTCTAAACTTTTCTCCTTTCCTTTCAAAAGTGCGAAACACAAATCTACCAGAAAAGAGAATTCATCTTAACTGTCATATGACGCCATTTTTTTTTCTTCCAAAATTAAAATTACCGACAGAGAGGGATCACGTGACAGTAGGGACTCTGATGTTGAGGAAGAAAAGGAAATATGACAGCGCGCTTGCTTTACCTGATCAATGCTCTATGGATTTTTGTCTTGAATCAGTTTCTAAAAGTTAAAGTTAAAAACTAACTTAAAAGTAAGAGCTGAATTTTCAATTTTATGTCGTGTAATTTTTTGTCGTGTAATTTTTAATCGTGTTATTTTTTGTCATCTTTATGTTTTTTTAATGTGTTTTACTTTGCATATTTAAATTAAATTTAATAAAAGCAAAAATCCACCAGTTTCAAATAAATTACCAACTAAGGCATTATGCTGACGTATTTTAAATGATAAAATTTGGTAAATGACGGAAAGATTTGTCTGGACAACATATAACGACTAAATACGAGAAAAATAAAATGATTTAATCAATCGTATGCAATTGTTATGGTGCATAGAGACAGGAAATAAATATAACGCAGATGCATTCCTTTATTTCATTTATAAATAAATAGTACAACATTTTTTATTGTGGTCTAAGTTTAATAGTTAAAATATAGAAGTAAAAATTTTACTTTGTTGTCTCATATTCTACCTGATTACAAAACAATAAATTTACTGAACATAGTTTTGTTATAACGAAAACTAACAAGATATAGTCATTGGTTTTATGAATGTAATTAAATTTTTTCCCCACAGTGAAAATGGATTTAGTTCCCTTATACAATTGCCACATTTCCCAACACTAGTTCACAAAATTTTACTTTTATATTTAAAAAGCTTTTCTTCTTACACTGTGGTCAAAATTTTACAGGTTTATTCAATAGCAAAAATTGCTTGTTTTGTTGCAAATTATTATTTAATTCGATAATATAGTGGAATTCATTTTTTTATTAAAATTAAGTAAATAAGAAAAACGAGTTTTATCGTGGAACATATACAATTAATAAAATTTGGTACATAGAGTGGAATGTTTTAAAATGTTTAGTTCTATTTTCAATACTATTAGAAATTTATTCTATTTTTTTTACCCAGTTCATTTAAAATTTTATAAATTATTTAAATAAGCTATATTTAGATACATTTTTTTTGCTTTTCAAGGCATTTAAAATTCTTTAAATAAATCAAAGAAGTGTAGATTGGGATTGGACACTGTCCCTTGGAGCTTTTACTGTACATAAAATCTTATAATTTACAATTATCGCGATTACTTATTATTAGGAACTCTCACTTTTAAATTATTTTCCTTCATTTCTCCAAGAAATTAAAAAATTATCAAAATAAGTGGGGTACATAATTTTAAACTTTTATGTGAAGGATTAAACTATTTCTAAAATGTTCTGTTTTTTTTAAATATTAATTTATTATTAACAACAAATTATTTATTAATTATTTATTATTAATTAATACTATTATTAATTATATAACATATTAATATATATTATTATATTATTAATTATATAATTTATTATTAATAAGGTTGTCCAATGCTATTAGCATTGAAATAAAAAAATGATTCCAGTTATGGTGAGTTTAAATTTGATTACTATTAAATTTGATTGGATTATTATTAATTATAATATAATTAATAATATTATTAATTATAATATAATTAATAATATATTATTAATTA